GAATAAAAAGGGATATCGAGGTGGGGGGCCAACAGAGATGAGGAGAAGACGAATGGCCTCCCCAGAGGATTGTCGAGACCTATGGACCAGCCACCAGGACACAGGATGGGGATACTGGACTCCTAGATGCTCAACAGAATCATTAGGTTACAGGCAGCCATGGAAATTATTACCAACCAGACTGCCTCTGCCCTAAAGCTGCTGGCGAAGCAACAAACTCAAATGCAAGTTACTATATATCAAAATCGCCTGGCCTTGGATCATCTTTTAGCTAAGGAGGGGGGAATATATGGCAAGTTCAACCAATGAGGTGTGGAAAGGATGGGACCCAGACAGTCTGTTCGGTGGATGGTAATCTGCCCCGGGCAGATTCAAAACCCTGATAGGCAGTGGGTCTAGTCCTGGGAGTGTGTCTGATGTTACCCTGCCTGGTTCCCCTGATATTGCGGTCTAAAGGACCATTATGGAGGCCACTATAGAAAGAAAAACAACTGTCCATGTAATGATGCTGTGGAAATACAAACCCCTAAATCAGGATGATTCTCTTTGACCCTAGGTGGGTCCAAGCATCAAAGTGGGGAATAATGTAGCAGGAAGGAGGGCCAGAAAAGAAGCAAGCAAGTATGTGTCCTGATAGTGTAGCGGGGGGAGGTGCTGGAATAGCAGGGAGATAAAACTAAACGTGAGGAAGGTCCCGTAGCACTGGGGGTGAAGTAGCCAATAGAGTTGCATGCAACCATGTATGGGTTAAACCTTGCTTTCTGTTTCTGTAACCTGCTTGCAAGGGTATGTAAGGTGAAACCCCTTTGTTGTCAGGGCTCAGACTCTGGACTCTGGGCTGGAACAATAAAATATTGCTTCCTGCTAAATTGCCTTGGTTCCTGGGTCTCTATTCGAGATTCCAACAACAATATGAAAATGCCTGGCACAGGTGATCCTCTTGAAACATTTTAGGAACATCTGTTTGGACATCTGTGTTTAATTACCATATAAAAGACATTAACAGGTAAATTTCAGCCTCTTTAACTATCTGCTTATATGCCACAATTTTCTATGTTAGAGCTCAAGATTTAGACAAAGGGAGATGAAAATCAGAAAGTTATTCTCCTTGTTCACTGGGTGATTTTAGGCAATTTATTTAATGTTTCAGTGCCTCTTATGTGGTAACGATGCTGCAACCTTCACAGAGGAGCTAAGAATAATGTCAGACCTGTAGGCCTTCAATAAATGTTAGCCATTATTATTAGCTGTGAGTATTAATTTTAGGTGCCAACTTGGCTGCATTAAGGGATAACCAGAGAGCTGCAAAAGCATTATTTTTGAGTGTCTCTCCCTCCTTCTCTCTCTTCTGGAAAAGAAACACTACCTTCACTTGCCCGTGGCTCCCCTGGTACTGAGGCCTTTGGACTTATCACTGATTTTCTGGTTTTCCAGCTTATGGATGGCCTACTGTGAGACTTCTCAGCCTCCAAAGTCAAGTGACTCAATTCCCTTAATAAACCTTCTCTCTAAAATCTACCTTATTGGCTCTGTCACTCTGGAGAACCCTAACTAACACATTAGCACTTACAGTTAGGGGGTTCAAAAATTCATTTCAATTTTCCAAGTTATACATTAATGCTTCACTTAGTAGAGCTAAACCTTTTATGGCTACTCTTCATGCTTTACCAGAATTACAAAATAAATAACAAACAACTCACTTTAAACAGTGATTGCAGGACACTGTTCTAAGTGGTACTGACAGCAGTTAGCCACAAGGCACTGGATGTGCAAGGAACTTAAAATGGAGAAAGAGGTTGCAAGGTCTCTGAGAGAAAACATTGTAATTAAACTTTCCAACTGTGGGAGTTCTCTGCTAATATCAAAATAGCCCAACCAAGGTCAAGAGATGTCACAAGGTGTTTTTGAGTCCCCCACCCACCATGAGGTGGATCTAAAGATCCTGGAATTCCTAGAACAACAGGTCTTTACTTAACAAAACAAAAACCCAACCTATAAATCATCCCCTAGGGGTCATGTGGACCCAATAATCATTTGTACATTGTAATTCAGTACCCTACCCTAGCTTTAAGACTCTGTTTACCCTGACCTCAGCCCTATAGGGAGCCTAGGGATAGGAATTTCTCACCAGCAATCTCAATATTCAACCCCCAAAGGATAATATTGTGTTCTAACCTTAGAGACAACCAGTTTTCAGTCTGTTGAAAGTGTATTCCTTTCCTAATAAATTTTCCTATCACCTTCATTGCATTTCAAGTTTTCCCTGAATTCCCTTTCAGTAACAGAACTTAGTAGTTATTAACTCCTTAATTCTTCTTTTTTCCCTAAATTTTTTTTTATTAGGATATATTCATTGTACGAAGGGAGATTCATAGTGACAATTCCAATTAGTCTAATATTGTACATTATTTACATTCCCCCATTGTCTCTTCCTCTCAGCTCCCTCATCACCCCATTTAAAGTAATTGCAAGAGGTTATTTAGTTCTGTTTCATATATGTATGTGAAGTCCATCAACCATATACCATCACCTTAATCTCCTTCTTTCACTCTCCCCCCTCCCAGTCGTACACCCCCCCCCCACACACATTGTACCTATTTTACAGTCCTGGTTTTCATAATTAGTATTTGAGTTGACATTCGAAGGGTGTCTCAATGTATGCTCTCTGTGGGTATGCTTTACTTTGGTCTGATCAATCCCTTCAAATACTCTCCCCTATCCCTTTACCTCCCACCCCATTTTTCAACAGCTTCAATACGCATCCTTATATCCTCTACCTTCAATTCCTTTAATTCTTAAACACCGCTTGGTTGTTTCTTTCCTTCTTTTACAAATGCAGAAACTGGGGCACAGAAAAATCAAGTATTTCCCTAAGGTTATACAGTTATAGTTAGTAAGGGGCAGGCCAGGACTGAAATCCAAGTAGTCTGGCTCAACTGTTTATACTCTGCCTCAAGAGTATTCTATATGAACATAGATATTCTGAGCATGATAAAAACATTAGGTTTTTACCCAAAAGAGTAAAACGATTATTTTAGGGATTCATGAGCTTTTATCACCAAGGAACCAGGGAGTCAGGGACCTTTCAGAATGAGAACCAGCTCCCCAATTTCTAATTTTATGAATTTTCACTAAGTAAATTATGTCTCATCTATATATCTACATAAATAATTAAAACAATTTTTTTAATAACTTTTTTTTGGTACCTGGGTTTGAACTCAAGGCCTACATCTTCAGCCACTCCACCAGCCCTTTTTTGTGATGGGTGTTTTCCAGATAGGGTCTCATGGAACTATTTGCCTGTGATCCTCCTGATCTCTGCCTCCTGAGTAGCTAGGATTACAGACCTGAGCCACAGGCGCCTGGCTGGATAAATAATTTCTGCCCAGCATTTGACATGGGATTATCTTGGGTATAAGACTGAATAAGATCATGAACCAACTAGATACCATTTTTGAAAAAACTGAGATATTAAAAATTAACTTTAAACTTTAATAATGAGATAACATGAAATTGAAAAGCTCTGTGTAAATAGTTTCTTTTTTAAAAAAGCATCTTTTCAAAAGGCTTAAAAAATAGTCATAACAGGTTCTCACCTAGACTTCTGAAATAGATTCCAGACATTTCCCTGCCTCCAGTCTCTCACAATTGGAGTATATGTTTCACAAACCATCATCTGATCTACAAACAAGTTATTTTTCCCTTAAGCTATTTTAGAGATGGAAGTTAGTATAAACTCCTTGCTGTGTGTCTGAGGGCTACAGAGATATGCTCCAAAGCTAACCACAAACAAATAGTGGACATAGCACTGAGTGTGCACAAACCTAGGGCTTAATCTTAGTTCTGAAAATAACAATCTTGAAGAAATGTTTTAAATTTTAATTAATTAACTAATTTAGGTGAGACTGGGGTTTGAGCTCAGGGCTTTATACTTGCAAAGCAGGTGCTCTACAACTTGAGTCACACCTCCAGTCCATCTTGCTCTGGTTATTTTGGAGATGGAGTCTTGAGAACTTTTTGCCCAGTCTGGCTTTGAACTGCCATCCCCCGATCTCTGCCTCTTTAGTAGCTAGGATGACAGGAGTGAGTTACTGGCGCCTGGCCTAATACGTTTTTGAATGAAGGACCTTTTAGTTTGAAATTTGTTGTGGTTACTCATTGTCCATCAGTAGAAGTACAGTCTCTCCTTTGGGAAAGGAGCAATGTAACCTTGAGGTGCTTTGTTCAAGAGCAATGGTCCTAACGGACTCCCAACTGTTTTGATGCCAGGGTCTCAGGTCCATTGAGGTTTGGCTAAGTGTAGCCTGTTACAGTTTGCACTGTTCCTGAAGCTTTCTTTTCTTTTAAGGCCCCAAAGAACCAGTTTATTTTCTAGGATATAGAATCTGACTCCATCCCAACACATATTTTCTAAAAGTTGAAAGAATATAAAAGGAAGATTTCTTTTCAGTAAAATGAAACTCTAGCCGTCTTAAAATCAGGGTTAAGTGATTAATTCTTTGAGATTTGAAGGACAGTTTGAAACAGAAAAAAAGGCCCACGTTTCCTTCCAGAATTTGTAGTCTAAGCTTAGAGGTGCATAGGCTGTAAACCAGAAGGACAGACTGAGCAAAGGCATGGATGTCAGATAGAATGGAGATGGAACCCAGACCTACCACATATTAGTGGTAACTTCCCTAACTGTCAGTGACAAAGACCAGGAAATGCGTGCAGAACGCAGCACAGGGCTGGGTACACAGGAAACATTTGGTAAGTAGTAAATAACAAGATGCCAAAGACATGAGGAAGGAGAGATCAATAAAACTATTTATTCTACATCTCTTCCTGTCAGCACAGCTCTGACTTTGTAAAAACCCTATTTGAAGCAGTGAGTGCTTCTTTGGCCTCAGATAGCACAGCTCACGTGTGGTAGGGGAAGATGCTATTCAGCATGGACAGGTCTACATATAAACAATACATCCTTCAAAGAACATAGGATGAAAAGCACCCAGAAGTCTCACCAGCTTGGAGCTTTCACTTCCCGGTAGCTGCTTAACACCAACTTGCAGATAGCCATCTTCCTCACTACTGACAGGTTCGGTGCCACTCTGATCCTACAGGACATTAAAAAGAAATAGCAAGGCATCAATCTCCTCTTACACAGCCCCAGAATGGACACACCATCAACACAGTTGCTGGCTTTAATGTTGTAGTGGTATTGCTTCTGTAGAAGCCATTCCTGTCACCTTCCTTTCTAGTAGAAGGCCATTGTTTACTTGTGTTTTGTAGGTATCTGTCCCAGCTTTCTGTTCCAGGGATCAGCAGGACTGTCTAAAGTCTGTCCCTTCTTTCTGCCAACTATTTTGTCAGGAACAGATTTTGTCAGTCTGCCAAGGAGACAGAAAGTGAAATTTGCTGAGAACCTACAGAAAAGTTCTTCCTTAATCATGAGCCAAAATATCTCCCAAATGGACAGAAAACATAAAGTCCAAATTACCACAGGGAGCTATCCCATGAGGAAAGGGACCAGCTACACTGTGGATGACAGTAAAGACAGTAAGGGAGGAAGTGGCTCTCAGATGGATCCCTGGATCAGCCACACGTGGAGCCCAGTCTTATCCTAAGCCACCTTCTCCAGAGAGCTAAGAAATTTCTTTACTGCTTCAGCCAGTCTAAGTTAGCTATTCTGTTACCTCCAACCAAAGCTTTCCCAGTGAGACTGCTGTCAAACTCCTCAGACCATGTTTATCTTATTTTTGAAATCAAGTACTTAGCTAGCACCATGCCCTGCACGTGAAAACCACCTGTCAAACACTGGCTGAACTGAAGAACGGAGTTCTTGTTTTCTTGAAGATTTTTTTTGGCATAATATTAAAAATATGTACTCTGTAGAAATGAATCACCTGGTAGTAATAAACCCTATTAAAGTTCCAAAACACATTAAGTGTATCTTCAATTTAATTATGACCTATTAAATGTCCTGGTTAACCAATTAGAAGTTTCTTTACTTTTATGGAGCACATGGAGGGATGAGAATGATAAACGGAGTATTGACATTGTGTTTATCTGGATTTTTTTTTTTTTTTTTTTTGCAGTGCTGGAGTTGAACTCAGGCCTCTTGTTAGGCAGGTGCTCTACCATTTGAGCCACTCCCCCAGCACTGGATTTTTTTTTTTTAAATCTCCACCTTCTTGGGATTTGGGTGGAATAGTTTACAGGGAAGATGGTTCTAATTTTTGGACATTTAATGTCATGTATAATTTGAAACATGCAAGCTGAAACAGAGCAACTATTCTTTCAATTATCAAATGGACAACAGAATAGAAAAAGAACATTCAGTATTGATGATGTAAGGAAATGGTAACTTTTACACATCATTCACAGAATGTGAATTAGGGTAATCGTTTCAGCAAAAACCTATATAACAGCTACAAAAATATAAATATATATCAAGGAAAATATAAGTACACAGAACAAATTTTTTTAATTGCTTACTTCTGGGGTTAAGGAGCAGGGAATTTTTACATTAGATTAGTATATCAGTAACACTTTACATTAGTCATTTTTACAGTGTTTTTGATCAGAGAAGAAAGCACTTACTGTTGCATGTTCAAAAATAAAATAGAGGAAAGCTATAATAAATACCTAAAAGATTTTAGAAAAAATAAGGAAAAAAGTAGTGTGGATTTTAGAATTAGCATTAATCAGATTGTGGTTCAAATCTTGCCTCTGCCACATACATACATATGATTTGAAGCAAGATGCTTTCTAAATCTGAGAATAAGCTGGGTGTAGTGGTGCATGTCTATAGTCCCAGAACTTGGGAGTCTGGGGTAGGAGGACTGCTTGAGGTTAGGAGGTTGAGACCTGCCTGTGGAACACACTGAGAGCCTGTCTCAAAAACAAAGTAACCTGAGTACAGTCATTTGTTGCACAGCAATGCTTCAGACACTACATGGTCCCATAAGACAATAATGGAGCTATTATTACCTATTACATGGTGATGTCACAGCTATCATGACACTGCACTACGTGTTAAATTTTAGGTGATGCTGATGAAAACAAATTTTTGCTGCCAGTTGTATAAAAGTATAACACAAGCCAGGTGTGGTGATACACACCTGTGATCCCAGCACTCAGGAAAAGCTGAGGAAGGAAGATTATGAGTGAGGCCAGCCTAACCAACATCGTGAGACCTGTCTAAAAAAAAAAGTATAACACATAAACAACTATGTATAGTAAATATTACTAAATGACAATAAATGGCTGTGTACTTGTTTATGTGTTTGCTATATTATATATTTTCTATTGTTCTTCTACTATTTACTAGACAACCTTTTTTTGGCAGTTCTGGGGTTGGAACTCAGGGCTTCATGCTGCTGGCAGGCATGCTACCACTTGGGCCATGCTCCAGCCTAATACATGACATTCTGATACTGTTTTATAAAAACACTTACTGTAAAACAATATGAGTGTTAAGCCAGCAACAGCCCCACACAGCTCATGTACATGCCTCTTCGTTGAATAATTTCCTCTTGTATTTGATTTAATCTTGAGTTACTTTGTTCATCATGGTCTTAGGAGCAATAGACTATACTATTTATAGATGTACATACACACACACATCCCATATAGCATAGTCATACAGAAGAAATAACACACATAGTTGGTAGCAGAAATACAGATTTTTAGCATGTTAGACAGTGGGTAAGTTTGTTTGTTTGGTTGATTGGTTGACTGATTGATTGACTGCAGTGCTAGGGATGGAACTCAGGACTTCACACATGCTAAGCAAGCACTCTGACACTGAGCTACATCCTCAGACCTGTGGTGAGTTTTAAAGAGAGAAAAATTCTGAACAAATGAACTGCCCTTTCAAAAACCAGTACTTAATCTATGCAAAACTGTTCATGTCCAAGTTGCTTAACGGATCTGGTTCTGTGAGCTATGGAGACTCTGAGGTGGCCCTGGTGAGGCTATGGTGACCAAATGCAGTAAATGGTGACTAAATGCAGTAGATAAGACTGTGGAACCAGTCCACAGGAAGCTCCTGTGGATAGTGGTCAGCAGATGCTACTCATCTAAGTGTATGTGTTGTGTGTGTCCCCTTCCACTTGTTGCACAAACTCACTCTTTCCCTTAGCTGGAAGACAATGTCTTCTTGTAAAGTCATCTACATTTTACCTGAACCTCTTCAGTCACTATCGTCATCTCTTTTGTATCCTAATTACATATGCACAGAACTGATCTCCTTGATGATCATGAAAGATGTTGAGTTCCTTCTTTTCCTTTGCCTGGCCCATTTTTCAATTACTCCTCAGTCTGTCTTCGTTCAAAGTTCATGCTCTTTTTCACTGCACTATGTTCCCCTTCAATGTCTTCTCTTCTGTTTTTAGCTTGAGATGACTCCATTCAGAGGGCATGGAGTCCAAATTCAGATGGAGAAGAGACTCAGGCAGAAAGGAAGGACGACCCAAGAGAGGTCAGCAAGGAGGCATTTACTTTCTAGGAGAGCTAAAGTTGATGAAAGGGTTTTATTTTGAAAGGAGGTACCGAAAAAACAGCGTGGATTTTGTTTTGAGAACAGAATGGCTCACAAGGTAAGAAGCCTTCAAAACACCCCATATGCCAAAAGCTTAGAACACAGCCGACAGTCAGAGACAGGAAAGGAAATAACAGGTGAGAAGCCTGACTTCTAAGTTCAACTGGGTGACTTGAGGACCATCTGGCTGACAGGTAGGTGGCCTTGACACCCAAGATGACTCAGCTAATCCAGATGGCTAATGTCCGCTTTCTCTCTTGCTGATCTTCAAACCACCTGTCCAAGATGGTCTGCTTGCCAAGCCTGCCCACAGAGAACAACTTCCTCCAGAAGACCCCAGTTGGGCGATGGTGAAGGATACATTTAGGATGTTATTGTGGGTTGGAGAACATTTCTGATCACATAAATGTTTGATGCTGTTCCTCACCCTGGCTCCCCATTTACCATGAGGAGTATATACAGTATATATAACTATCAGTATATACAGCTGTTTTCCTTTTGATTTGAGATGGTGCTAAGTAACATGAATTAAAAATACCCAGCAACTATACTTCCCTGATATAACTGAAAGTTCTTTATACTTAAAATAAAGCTCAGATTAGGTTAAAGTTTGTCATCCCCATATTTCTACAGCTAATGTTATTTTCCAAAACACCACAAAATGATTTATTACTCTACTGCCAGCCTAAACTCACAAATATTTCTTTCTATAAAACCAGGTTTACTAGATGTGACAAATTGAATTTCTTTCTTCCATCCGTGATCAGGAGCCTACTTATTAGGCAACTCAGATTCCAGGAAGGCAGTGCGCAATTAAAGATAAAATGGAAATTATGCTAGCGGCCCTTCCCCAGTAGTCAACCTCACTGTTCTTTACAAGGCCTGCTGCTTCTAATGTGGTGCTCAGAAAAGCACGATTTCTGAGAAGGAAAAATGAAGTCCCTTGTTTATTTAAAGTGATTCGCAAAGATCCAGGTTTCCTTCTCATGGTAGGATTCATTCTCATGGAATGAATATCTTGCATACCAGATCTATCTGATCCCCAGTATGTCTTACATGACCACAGCAGCGGCCTCTTTTTTTTTTTTTAACTTGTCAAAATTTTATTTATGCTGCAAACCACCTAAGTATTGAACAATAGGAGAATGCAGAAGAAATTATATATTTATTTGATGAAATATGAAATAACCAATATGGATCACTACTGACAAGTCCTACAAACATAAAGAAGTTGAGAAAGAAATAAAAGTAAGTTAGAAAATATACTGTATGATACTAATTATATAAAGTTCAAAACATGCAAATAGTATTACATATTAACTTAGGGATACATACATACATTGTAAAAATGTAAAGAAAGTCATGGGTTGAATAATTAACTTTCAGAAATTGGTTACATATGTCAGAGAAGGAAGGAGAAGCAGCGGCTTCTTAACCAGGTCTCCCTCCTCAAGACATCTTTGATGCTGTGATTCCACTAACCTGCTCAAGGTGGAGCCTTGATCAGACCATTTCACTGTTCAAAATGCCTTCAACAGTTCCACCTGCCTAAGCATGAAATCCAACCCTTCT